TTGGATATAGAAAATGATTACAATTAAAAAATTGTAATAACGTTCTTACAATTGCACAAATCTTTTTAATTAATTTGTTGGCGATCGATTAAAATGTCGACTCCTTTTTTATTAAAACAAAATTATTATTTTTGAGCGTATAAACAGAAATTATAATAAATGTTACTATAATTAAACAAATCTTTTTAATTAATGCAGCCATTGATCACAATGTGTACGTGAGCGCGCGTGTATGTTCGTTGACCATTTAATTAAAATAAAATTATTAATTTCGAATATTTATTAAAGAAAAGTGTAACAAATTTTTTTGTTTTCTGTTTTTTATAATTTAACAGATTTTTTTTAATTAATATGCTCTCTCCTTTATTAAAATGTTTATGTTCGAATCAAAATTATTACTTTTGTATGTTTCGAATATTTAATCAGTTCTTTTATTTATCTATAATTAAACCAAGTCCTTTTAATTGGTGATAAGAAGAATTAGAAATAATATGAAATTATTATTCGTCAATAGTTATATTAATTATGAAAAGAAAAGAAAAAAAAAAGATACCTGAACAATACGTTTTGTTTCGCATAGTTTATTGAAAATCGATGTTCAAATCTTCTAATTGAAAAGAAAAAAATTAGCTTTAATTCTAAAGAGTATCACGTGCCAGTGCGAAGGATGAAAGGGTTCAAAAGGGTTCTTCTTCTTTTCTTTTCTCACTCTCTTGTTTTTCCCTAGAAAAAAAAAAGAAAAAAAAAAGAAAAAAAAAAGAAAAGAAAATTCCGTAAAGTCTGACAAAGTCGAACTGGAGAAAATGATTTTAATAATCGCATAGCTTTGCTCTCAGAGATATACTATATAGATACTACCTATATAACGCAACCCGAGAGTGGGTTATTTATAGATAGGTGCCGGCCAAGCGATCGATAATGAAGCGCGCTTGAAATTAAACTTTCTTGCTATCGGCGATGCGAGCTGGCAAAAAAATTCTATTCTCGCTACGTCATTCTGGGATAGTTAGACGAAAAAGAGGTGGGCGGGTGGGGATGAGGTGAGGAGAGGAAGAAAGGTTAGTATATTGATGTTGGCGAGTAGGCGGCCGACAGGGGATGGGAAAAGGGGGTAAAGCGAGATGTTCGATATCTCATCGATATTATACATCGATCTACCTATGTATTAAAAGCGTATCGAGTTATTAAAAAAAAAAAAAAAAAAAAAAGAAAGAGAAAGAAGAAGAAAAAAATTATAATAATCAAATTAAAAAGAAAATTAAAACAAAAAAATAATGATGATGGTGACGATGATAGTAATAATAATAATAATAATAATAATAATGATAATAATAGTAATAATATAAAAGTTGTTTAATAGAGAAGGTAGATATCTGTTATTAGAAATTTTTTCAAACGTCACGTTCACCAAATGCACACGTAAAGTGAGTGTGCATTCTAAAGAACGTTCATATAAAAAGGAAACAGATCTCTCTCTCTCTCTCTCTCTCTCTCTCTCTCCTTTCTCTTTTTTTATTTTGTTTCTCGCTCTTTCTCTCTGTTTCTCTGTCTCTCTGTTTTTGTTTCATGTTCTCATTCGTGTTCAATATTATCGAACGAAAAGATACCTAGGTATCATAAGGGGAGGGTAAAGGTTCTATCTCTCTTTCTCTATCTTAGTTAAATATTTTCTAAGAAAACTTTAGAAGAGAGAGAGAGAAAGAGAGAGAGAGAGAGAGAGAGAGAGAGAGAGAGAGAGTTCAAATCTTTTTTTGTTTCATTTTTTATTCGGTATACGCATACACGGTGTGTATGTATGTGTGCGTGTATGTGTATATGTGTTAGTCGAATTGAGTTACCCATAGAAAAATATATGACGAATAGATAATAAAGAGAGAGAGAAAGAGAGAGAAAGAAAAAGAGAAAATTTATTGCCGCCGTCCAACCGGAGGCAAATGACATCAAAGAAAAGTGAAGTAATGAAAGAGCATGATTAATATTGTACTCGTGTGTATGTACCATCTACTATTGTATGGTGAATGAAAAGAAGAAGAAGAAAAAAAAATTAATAAGATATACGTAATATAGATCAATGGGAATAAGATTGGATTATAATTTATTGTATTATATATATATACGTAATTATTTTGAATGTAAAAATAATTATAAAAAATTTATTCATAAAAGAATACATATTTGTAACAAGGAAAAAAGAAAAAAAAAGGGGAGGGGAAAAGAAATTTACGAGTTTTATCTAAGTAAAATTTGATTTCTCTTTCTCTCTCTCTTTGTCTATCTATCTACTTATCTATATATCTCTTTCTCTCGGTATAAACAAGCTTACGAACGCGTAGACGCGGAAATTTTAGAGTCGGGCGAGCGTGACGACGTCGATCTTACTTACGTAACTTGACACTTATTTATTTTTTTTCTTTCTTTTTTTTTCTTCTCTCTCTCTCTCTCTCTTCCTTCTTTTTCTTTTCCATTGGAAAAAATAAATGACGACGATCGAAGAGAAAAAAAGAAAGGAAAAGATAACCGATGGTTGGGACCATCGAACGGATTTATGGATCTCTCTCCCAGTCTTAAAATCACAATGGTGGATCGTTTCTCTGTTATCCGACATTTTGTTTCCCTTCCCTATTGACCCCTCGCCTTACCCCTTCACCCTCTCGCCTTTCATTCATTCATTCATTCATTCATTCATTCATTCATTCATTCATTCATCCATCCGTCACTTTTTCAACGAACTCCTTTCAAACGACCAATCGACCGGATCAACGAGAAACGACAGTAATTACATAATCGTGAAAAGAACGAAATGGAAGAAGAATTGAGAGAAATAGTATAAAGAAATATAGGAATAATGTAATAAAAGACGAATAAAAAAAGAAAAGGAAAGAAAAATGAAAGAAGGGAAGAGTAAAGGCAATTTCTAAATATCTTCGTGCGAAACCGATGTGGGGGATAATCGCGCGCCACGAGTTTCGAACGTAGCGCCCCGTGACTTTTAGTGCGTTGAGAGTGGAGGTTTGGTTTGGTTGGTGGGGTTAGGTTGTGTAGGAGAGTGGTGTGTTAGAGATACTTCACTCTTACTATTGCGCCGGTTCGCGTATCTCCGGGAAGGAGAAGGATTGCGGTAGGTCGGGTTAATCAAAATGGCCGCGCGTTTCTCGTTGCCACGGCAACAACAGATCGGGCGGGTACTTGCGATAACACTAGGAGGCGGAGCATTCGACTGCGTCGGCCATTACGCTTTTAGACGCCGAGAGCTAACGCCATCTGTCGGTGATCTTTATAAACTCCCCGTGAGTTTTACCGCTCCTAACTCTCAATCAACATTTTATTCGAGCGTACACGCTCGTACCGTACGGACATGGACGTAGGTTACTCTCTTCTTTTACATTCATTATATATTTATTTCCTTTATTATTGCTTTTTGTTATGAGTGAGTGAACAATTAGAAAGGGACATTACGCGAAAGTATACGATAATATTATAATTGTAATAGTATTAATAATGATATAAATAGTAATATTACAATGTTTCGTTTAATGTCTCTTATTTGTTGCCTTTTATTCAAGTTTCTTTAAAAGGAATATTATATATATATATATATATATATATATATATATATATATATATGCATATTATATTCAGAAAAGAAAATATTATAATTATTAATATGTTAATATTATACTAAATATTTTGATATTAGTATATAATCAACATGGTTATTATTATTATTATTATCATTTTTGTTATATTTATTTATAATTTATAAAATTATAAATTCTATAAACGAATCTTATTGTTCTCCTTTACACACACACGCGCACACCTTATTATATTGTCATTGTTATGTTAATAAATATCAAATTTATTATTGTTTCCTTCCGACAAGCATATTATTATTGTTTATGTTTATTTATTTTCCATGGAACGAATATAGACATCGCTTGTCGTACAGAGTAGAGTTTTATTTATTTGTCGATTAACGAAAAGGGAGGTTTTGTTAATGCTACAAAAAGCGACATGTAGATACGTTGCGTATCTACGTTTATATGTTAAAGTGATCAATCAACGTTTTACCCATCGAGAAATTATTTACATTTACGCTCACGTACAACCTTGGCAAATGTTGATTTATCAATTAATTGTCGCATACCAGTTATATACTATACCAAGCGAACTGAATAATATAGCCGGTCACCAAGGTTTGTAAGGGTGTGGGGTTTTGGAAAAAGGATTTTATATTTTTGATTCGAAACATGTACGTCATCGTTACATTCAACGATAATTTTCGTTAATCGACGCTGTTTATTGCACCGTCAAACAAATAAAAATGATTGATAATAAACGAGGGTGATCGTGTTCGAATTAAAAAAAGAAAAAAAAAAAGGAAAAAGAAAAGAAAATATCTTCGCAATTTATCCGGATAAATAAACGTTAATTGTTGGACGCTTTAACGATTAGACAGACATTAAGAGCAATTATTTTCAATGGCGAAGGTTGGTCATGTTTTGACGAAGAAATAGAAGTAAGAAGGAAAAAATGTTGGATAAAATTGTGGTAAAGATTAAATAAGACGGAGTTCAATCAGCTCGTTCATTTTATTAAGCGTCAAATGACATCTTAGCTGATAGAATCTTTATGATAAATCAAGCGTAATTATTCATACTTTTCCACCTTTCGCTCATTAAAACTCTTTTTTATTCGAAGTTATAGATAATGAATAATAATTGGTTGGTTTCTTACTGCCGCCGATCGATTCTCGAGTTCTTGACATTTATGATAATAATTATATAATATAATAATTACCTATATATATATATATATATATATATGCATATATATAAAGTATTAATTAATATCTGTTAATATGTTGTAAGAATTAAGATATATATTATAAGATATATATGAATAAAATATAAATATAATTTACTTATATAAATAAGTTATTCAATAATAGTAATAATTATAATATTATTAATTAATACGTTTTAATGTTGAATTCACAGATCCTTGTGGAGTACGACGACGTTGAGTGGCAAAGGCGAGAGTGGTTATCCCCTCATAGGGATGCCGTGTTTTCCTTCTTCCTCGTTGAAAAAGGGCTTTATTGGGGTGAACGTGCAGATCCCAGGCACGCAAGTCTCGTAACCATCGATCATCACAATAACGCTAACAATAATCATCATCATAATAATCATCATCATCATCATCATCATCGTATCAACGGGAAACCGCTCAGAGGTTCAACCGCTACTGCCAACACCGTTGCTTGGCCCGCTCTTGTGAGTAAATTAAGATAAATTCTTTTTGTTTGCTTTTTTTTTCTTTTTTCTATCCAAAAAATAAAATGGAAATTTTTTTACCTCAACAAATTTTTTTTATTTAATTTCAATAACGCAGGAATATATCTATCTGAATATATCGGTCTGATTAAAAGCGCGATCATTTGTTTTGTTTTATCCTTTTTTTTTTTCTTTTTTAATTCTTTTTTTTTTCTCCTTCTTTCAGACTTTTTATCCTCTCGTGGCACGCGCCGAACTTCCGGAAGACGCAATGCCGATAGAATTCATGCAAGATCGGAGATTGGACTTTGTCGATTATGCGAAATTAAAACCATTCACCGTGAGTATTTCTGCATTTACATTAGTTTATATATATATATATATATATATATAATATTTATATAATATAATATTATAATATAGTGTTATCAATAAATAAATATAGCATACGCTATATTTTATCTGAATTATTTTATCTAAATTAAAAGGAAAAACAATACATATTATATTGTGAAAAATTACTCGAAAGAAAAAAAGAACTTTTCTAAATCTCATCAGATAAATACAAACACACACACACACACACATATACATAATATATACATGTATGTAGATATAAATTGGACATAGTCATTTGATTTGCCTCGATAATTCTCGTGTACGTACTCGAGCAAGAAAGGGGTAGAGAAGCAAGAACGATTAAGAGGCACGCGAGAGAAGGTGTTTCATAGTCGACTGCTGCTACTACTACTACTACTACTACTACTACTACTACTACTACTACTACTACTACTACTACTACTACTACTACTACTACTACTACTACTACTACTACTAGCTGCTGCTGCTGCTGATGCTGATGTCTGTGCTGCGACCGACCACTTCCGTTTTACGGCTAGAAACTTACTTCGTTAGAGGGGTTGAAACTTAGTTAGGAACAAGTTTTGGAGCCATTGGCCCATCCGACACCCCTTGGGCTATGGACGCGAGCCCGAACACACACACACACACACACACATACATACATACATATATACACATACAGAACCAGGACGCAACCTAGAATAATCTTTGAAGAGCACAGTTATCCCAAAGTTCGAAACTGGACTTGGTATTTGCTCTTTAAGATGTTCCCTCTCGTTTCCTTAAACATTGAACCCTTTTAGCGTTAATTTTATCGTTAAGTAAAAATGTATCGTTTTCTTTTTATTTTGTTTTTTCTTTTTCTTCTTGTGGAAGCTGTAAAGTAGTTTGATTTTTTTTTCTTTTTTTTCGTTTTTTCTTCTTGACGATTGTTCAATCGAAACGATTACAATTACACAAACATACGCACGTATGCTTTTTATTTGTTTTATTTTTATTTTTATTATACACAACCATCGAGTTTTCTGATTAAATTATTTTCTTTTTCTATCTAATATTCGATTAGATCAGTCGAAATATCGATGGAAGACAATTTCGAAGAGTAAAATAGTGGATCTCCCCATATTTGATTCTCATCATAGTCAAGAGGGAGAGAGAGAGAGAGAGAGAGAGAGAGAGAGAGGGAGAGAGAGCAGGGCCGTAATTGTTTCCAAGTAATTAAACTGTCGGAAGTTTAGCCGTTAAAACTTTGACCGGCTTCGGTTAGAAGCGCGAATCGTTTATGCGAAGTTTCCACGATCAGGTGTGAGATGCGCCTGAGCAATTCTAACAGCCACCTGTCTTTCTAACCTAATCGACCTTCGAAGTTATTAACACTGTGATATTCGCCGGAATTCATTATTGGTGGTCCAGTAATTTCGAAGGGTTGGAGTAAGGTGGGATGATGGAGAACGAGGAACTTCATTTCCTAATTCTAACCATTTATAATCTTACATAACTTTGCTGTCGTAAACTTGTATGTATATATGTATGTATGTATGTAATTTTGAATTAGGTTTCATTTTGTCGCGATTAGATGAATGTTTAACTTTGTATTTGAAAATTTTCCATATATTTTTTTTTTTTTTTAATACCTATATGTACCACTAGATTATATTGATATAAGAGTGATTTATTAAATTCTAATATTTAATAAATTACATAATATAATAAATATCGTATTAAATTACTATGAATTATTAGCAACTATTGTAGATAAAGAATTAGAAATTAAATAAAAATTAGAGATAGGAGTAGAGATAAAAATTAGAAAAATTATAGTAAAAAAGAAAGAAAAAAAAGGACACTAAGGATAAGGCGATGTAAATCAAAGTAACTGGCTGTGAAATCTCACTTTCCACGTTGATATTTTTCTCTCTCTCTCTCTCTCTCTCTCTCTCTCTCTCTCTCTCTCTCTCTCTCTCTCGCTGTCTCTGTCCTCTCTCTGTCTCTCCTGAAGCAAATAAGCAAGCAAGGTCCAAAGTTCTCTCTCGTTGAGAGATATCTTGTCTGCCGCTGGGCAGCAGCAGGTCGTCAGTACCATCCGAAGTACTAGTAGTAGTAGTAGTAGTAGTAGTAGTAGTAATAGTAGTAGTAGTAATCTTAAACGAGAGGAAGAGAGAAGGTTAGGAGATAGATATATACAGCACGTCGATGGCATAAAGCTGCACACCCCATCCCTCGCTACCTCATACCTCACCCTACCTCATTCTACCTCACCTTACCTCACCCCACAACGTCCTACCCTATCCCCGTGTTGTGTTCTCGCTTTGCCAAGGACCGTTAGCTGCCTGAACGGGAATATGTTGGCGCCTCGACTTGGCCGTTCTCCAACCTTCCTTTCTCCTCCTCATCCTCTTCATCCTCATCCTCATCCTCATACTCATACTCATCCTCCATCTCTTTCTCTTCTACACGTGCGCGTGAGTGCATACTTTCTCTCTCTCTCTCTCTCTCTCTCTCTCTCTCTCGCTTGCTCGCTATCTCTCTATCTTTCTCTATCTCACGACACGAGTCATTGGAAAACAACGACAAGAGCAGCAATAGCAGCATTAACAGCACGTCGAGACTACTACCAGAACTACTACTAGCAAATCAGAACTATTGGCAACGAAAATAAGAGCAAATAGTATCTCTTTCTCTCCCTCTCTCTTTCACATACACACGCACACATATATATATATATATATATAATCTCTTCATTGGTGTTAGTATCACTACGGAATGTGCGACGGAGGGCTAAACCAAGGAGAGAAAGAACCCGTTACATTTATAGTTCAGGGTCAGCAGACTCTCTCGACGCTCTCGATTTCAACGAATTTCGGTAGGAAAAACGGAAGCTTTTTGCCCCGTTCCACCTCGAGTTCGAGTTTTCCACGAATAAGAAGAAACAAAATAAAAAGAAAAAAGAAAGAAGGGGAAAAAAAAATCCGAGTTTCTTTTTCTCCCCTTATTTATTTTTTCGTTTTCGTATTTCAATCTTCCTGTAACATGACAGGGAATTTGAATTGTCCGAAGGAATGTTCGAAAGAAAAAAGGCAAGGGAAAAAAAAGAAAAGAAAAAGAAAAAGAAAAAAGAGTTTCGTGTTTTCATCTCGAACCAGCATTCTTTTTTTTTCTTTTCTTTGTTTTTTTTTTTTGTTCTTCCTTCTCTTTCTTCATCCCTTTTTTTCACCCCCGCCCCCTCTCTCCCTCCCTACCCCTTTGCGTTAAGTCACGGACATTACACAATCGTGGCTCGTGCGAATGACGATGGCTTCGTAATTGCAGCGATATAACGGCAATTATAACGCTATTATCGAAGCGTCGGTGAGAGAGCACTTAACTGCATGTCACGAGAAGAGTCGCGACAATTTTCTAAATTCACAACGCGTTTATATCTTCTCTTTTTACAATGTATGTATACATGTATATAAGTATGTGCGTGTATGTATATATATATATATATATATATATATATATATGTATGTATGTATGTATGTATGTATGTATGTATGTATGTATGTAGTCACGTATTACATCACGTAGATATTTATTGTTGTTTACCTGTCTCTATAACGCCATGTAATTTCAAGATCATGCACACACGCACATATATACATATATGTATATATAAATGTATATGTATGTATTTTGTTTTATTTTGATTTATAAAATTTTATTTCACTTTCACTCGCAAATTATTATTATTATTATTATTATTATTATTATTATTATTATTATTATTATTATTATTATTGTTAATTCATATTCGTTATTATTTAATAGATGTTTATATTTTTAGGTTTTAATTATATTACAGTTTTACTTGTAATAGATAAGTTTGAAGAGAATTGTATTATAGAATATTAACTCGTTATTCCTTTAACTTACCTCTCTCTCTCTCTCTCTCTCTCTCTCTCTCTCTGTCTCTCTCTCTCTGTCTCTCTCTCTTTATCTATTTATTTATTTATCCTTTTCTCTGTCAGTCTCTATTAAAAATAAAATATCGTTGGTATACTTCATTTCAACGTTGAAAATGTTGAAAATTTGCAAAGTTATAAAAATTGTATCATACAGAGATACGAGTTGTTTTTCAAATTCCCTTTGAAAAATTTTGAAAGAAGTTAATCATGAAACTCGTTAACGATATTCGAAAGTCCTTGTCGAACTCACTCAGAAACTCGTGTTCGATGAAAGTTTCAAGCAAAATGCAAGAACGAGAGAGATAAATGGATAGGCAGAGAGAGATGGATAGATAGATAGATAGATAGAGAGAGAGAAAACGATCGATAGTAAACTGCTTATCAGTTAACCCAACCCACGACGAAAATTACCGATACAAAGTTCTTGCAAAATACCAAAGTAAACTTTTTATCTATTATATCGAAAGATAAAACGATTCACTATTGTCTGCTATTACTCTTTCAATTTCTATTATAAGAATAAAAAAAAATGCCGTAGAAAGAGACAGACGTGTATATGTATATATATATGTATATATATATGTACATGTACATGTAGAAATATATCCAGATAACATTTAAGGATATAAGAAAGAAAAAGAGAGAGAGAGAGAGAGAGAGAGAGAGAGAGAGAAAGAAAGAAAGAGAAACTGTTACTATAGACTCTTATAAAAAAAATCGATTCGTAACGTTCGACAACTCGATTTCTGGAACGTTAAATTATTCGACGACTTTGTAATACTCGACTCGATTCGATTCGAACGAAGTCGTCGAAGAGTACAGCGTCTGACTAAGGTCGTCATTTGCATGGAATTTTCACGAATAGAAGGAGGGTACCAGAGGCGATGTATCCAAACGACAAAAAGCAAAGGGAAAAATGGAAAAAAAAAAAAAGAATAATAAAAAGAAAGAGAAAAGGACAAAGATAAAGATATAAAGAAAGGCAAAAAGAAAATGTGAGAATAAAATCTGATAAATACGAAATAAAATTTCATTAACAAATGCGATTCTATTATCAAAAATTATTTGTTACGTAGGTATATAATATAACACGTAGTTATGTATGTATGTGTGTGTATGCATGATCGAGAATATAAAAATTTCATAAATATGTAATTATCATGTACTTTTCACAAAGAGAAAATTATTCATATATGTATGCATGCATGCATACATGCATGCGTGTGTGTGCGCGCATATATATATATGTTCGTAAGAACGACCTTCGATAGTAATAACGCGGTTAATATCTCCTTCGTGACTTAAGTCTTATATATTAACATTTTTCTTAGGATATTTTCTCTCTCTCTCTCTCTCTCTCTCTCTCTCTCTCTCTGGTTTTTCTTTTCTTTTTTCTTTTTTTACAATTTACAATTAGTTTATATCAACACTCATTCGTTTTTTTTTTATCGCTCAAGGACAACTCTGCGATAAACAGACACCCATACATACACACACACACACACACACGAATATATGAAATAAATTATAATCCTAGAGACTTTTAATAAAATACCATTTCAAGATTTTCTTTTTTTCTTTTTTATTTATTTATTTACTCATTTATTTCATGTAACATTTCATTTTGTTCAAATAAAAATTCACAAACTACAAACGAAAACAATAAATAATTCGTCCTTGTGCTAGCTCGATTGTATATAACTTTTAATATAGTTTTATCTATATATATATATATATATATATATATATATATATATATATAAATGAGAAAAGATATATAAGAAAAAAGAAAGAAAGAACATAGGAAATATCAAGTATAATCTAATATCATTGATTGTTTATGACTTTTGATTGAGTGTGGACATCTAAAGAAAGGAAAAAATTAGAGGAAAAAAAGAAAAAGTGTATTTATTTGATAGTGATATCTAAAAACGTTCTTCGATAATGTTTATGCAGCAGGAATGGGAGCTAACTAAGGGTAGCTTGCCCTGGGTCGGTGCGGTTCGAAGATGGGCAGAGATGCAGGACGGTCAGAGAATCCTGTTGACGACGCCAAGCGTCCTTGTTGGTTTCCGTGTCGAGGTTTATCGTGCAGAAGGTACGACACAGTGGTACACGGCTGTTATAGTTGGATACAACGAATCTACCAAGGTAAACAATAATATCGATATCGCATGACGATATTTAATTTGAATTAAAAATTTATTGGTCAACAATTTATGCCTAATCGTTTTTTTTCTTTTTTTTCTTTTTTTTCTTTTTGTTTTTTCCTAACCCCTTCTAAGATCGATACTTTGTTTTATTTATTAGGATTTGACTGTGACCGACGACACCGTTCTTGAAGATCACAATGAAGATCCAAGTTTGGTACAGATGCGTTTGATCGGTGACGGAGGTAAAAATAATCGAATAATAAAAATATAAAGAACAATAGTAGTCGTATGAAGGCATATTTTTAAAAATCGTTCATTCAAACGATTGAACGATCGTTTCTAAAAAATTTATCTCACCTTTTTTTTACATTCGACATTTGTATTCTTTCTTTTATAGCAAATGATTATATCTAATTCGAAAATTCGAGATATAATCGAGGTAGAAAAAAAAAAAAAAGAAAGTAAAAGAAAAGAAGAAAAGGAAAAGAAAAATTACGTAAAAATTATTTCAATGGAAATAACTTTTATCAAAGTAATATGATAATAAAAAAATTAAACTGATGTGATTCTTTTTCCTTTTTTTTCTTTTTTTTTTTTTTTTTTTTTTTTTTTATAGAAAAAAGAAAGAAAAAATCTTTTTTTTACGTATATATAAATAATTAATCACATTCGAGTAAGTTTGTAGAATCGAATAAATCGAATAAATGGAGCAATTAATAATTATTTCTGTTTGCGCAGTCGTGGAGAGTATCATGAGGGGCGAGGTCGTCGGAATGACACCAAGGAGGTCGAGGTCATCGACTGCTCTGACGCACGCACTGGTCGTGGTGAGTGAAATCCAATTTCATTCTATTATTAAGCTTGTCACAAGGCTGGTAATAATGATGATAACATCTATGAGGAGAGAAAAGGTCGTTGAACGGGATTCTCGAAAGGTAAAAGCGGACGACGATAATGAAAGATCACGGCTGTCTTTTCTCTTCGCAATCTCTTTCGAAACGGACCGCGAAGAGAAAACTTGCTAAATTGAACGTTCGACGAATTGAAAATTGACAATTATCTAAATAAAAAAGCTAACTTGGGTGGATTAATATTTTGGATATATATATGTATAAATTTCTTTTAATTCTTTATAAATATAATTATAATATAATTTATGAAAAGAATTAAATAATTAATATTAATTTCAATAATAAATATTAATTATTTCAATTTTGAACATTGCAAAAAATTTAATTAAGATATTTTCACTCTATATAGATACTAAATGGAATACGAATAGATATTACTTTTTAAAATTAAAAAATATTAGATAATAAAATACACGGAATGCATTATTATCGATATCATCTCAAGTACGTTTTTATCGTCATAAAAAAATATCGAAAATTTTCTTTCAACTCTTTCTTTTATTTCTTTTTTTTTTTCTTTCTTTCTTTCTTCTTTTCACATTGAAATAAACAAAACTCTAATAAACTTCTCCTCCGAAAATAAAATTTTCGCAAACGTAAACACTGTACTTAGGTCGATTAGACGATACGATAAATGAGATGAATGAAATGATTTTTGTGAAGATGAAAAAAGGAAAGGAAGAAGGAGAAGAGGAACAAGAAAAGGATAAAAATAAAAATGAAAGAAAAGAAACAAGTTATGTGAAAATAAGGAAGAAGGAAGGAAATGTTTAGAGAGTGGAAACCTGCTTACCAGTAGATTCCCTTTAATACGAGAAATCAATAGAGTCGTGCTTGCTGCACCCTCGAGCTTTCAGGAATCGCAAAAGCCCGGAATAGAAGCGGTTGCTACCTTGCTTCTATCTCTCTTTCTCTCCCTCTCTTTCTCCCCTCTCTTGCTCTAACTCTCTCTCTCTCTCTCTCTCTCTCTCTCTCTCTTTCTCTCTTTCTCTCTTACTCTCTTCTCATTCTCCTGGACACGACTGCCCCACCTTCGACTTCGACTCTCTTCTTCAATTCCCGACGAGACGTCGCGTCTCGCTCTGTATATCTATAACGAGCGACGACCCGCTTCTCCAGAGGCGTTTTCATCGAATCGATTTTCGTCCTTCGACGAAGGATTATCCGAGGGATTTATTCATCCTTTTTTTTTCTTCTTCTTCTTCTTCTTCTTTCTTTTACTTATTTTTTATTTATTCTTTCATCTCCAGTAAACTCCAGTCCTTTTAATAAATTTTATTTAGTCGTGACATTTGATTTTATTAAATAGCATTTGACTATGTTTAAATTATCTGATCTTATTGGATTAACTATCATTTGTTAATGTATATAATTATTAATACGAGTGTATGCGATTGATCTAATGATATATCTTAAATGATCTAATTAAATGATTAATATTATTCTACAATTAATATTTCTCCGGATTAATCGAAAGAACGAATAAGAGAGTCTCGGAAAATGATTTTTATTTTATTACGGTGCAACTTTTATTTCCCTTATCCAAACAATTTTGCCCAAACTGGCTTCGAAGTTCTTCAATAAATTTTCTTTTATCGAGACGTTCGATTTATTAGGTGGATACTTAAATAACATTAGACTATGTTCAGATTATCTGATAGATTTCTGTCCTTTAGAAAAAAAAAAAAAAAAAAAAAATTTATTATTCATTGCCATGAAATAATATTGAAATTAGGTATCATACGAAAATTAATTGATTTTGATTTAAAATAACGTCAAAATTTTAATAATTTAATATTGAATTTGTTTCGAAATTCCGTCTGATTGATATTTTAAATGAACCAATTAAATCCTTGAAATATTTTATAATTCGTGTAATACGAACTTTCTGGTAATTAAATAATCTGCTATTTGTTTATTAATTTATTTATTTCGAATGATAAAAAAAATAATCGAAGAAAAGATAACAATTAATTTCTTTCATTTTAATTATTTCGAAGGCATATAATGTTTGTTAACAATTTCTAAACCATTAAATTATTATCTCTCTTCTTCGAGTCGACAAAAAAAAAATATATATATATATATCTATATATAAATAAAACAATTACATACAACAAACAAAGAAATAAGCTCTAATAATTTGCGCGATTATCTTTATACAAACATAACAAATAATTACATAAAAATAATTAATAAAAAAGCAAATAAATGAATAAACAATTTCTGATTAAATTTTGTCAATAGATATCGATCGATCGATCGATTGATAACGAACGTAATAAAATAGGTGTATAGGACAGGTTCATAAAGCTGCTGTTAAACGATTCCTCTTGCTATTGAGTACCTAGAATTCTTCGAGTACTTCGGTATCGTCATTGTCGTCGCGTGATAGTGACAGGTAAACGTCGACGAGTCGTGTCACTAATCGGGTTGTCCCGATGACGCATAGCTTTCATAGTTTACACGCGTGACGCTCCTTTTCAGGCCGATCCACGCAACCTGGAAACGAATCCGACATTAATAAACGATCGATCAATGAACCTCGTTTTCTCTCTCTGTGCGTGCATTTCTGTGTGTGTGTATATTATATATATATAAACTTTGTGTACCTACGTCGAATGTGTACGTGTGAAAGAGACCGCAATATTAATTTTTAATCTTTTTTACTTTTTTTTTTTTTTTTTTTTTTTTTTTTTTTCTATTAAAAGGGTAGACCAATTATTATTTTTTTTTTCTAAACTTTACCTTCTTTTACGTTACAGTAAGGTCACGCGAACCTAGTAATTTCTTCGTTAGTTAAGTTTGCACGTAACAACGATTTACCCTGAAGCCTTCGTGAGATAATCGTGAAACGTACTAGGTTGGGTTAAGAAGAAAAGAAAATGATTTATGGATATCGAACTGGTCGGAGGAGAAAGGAAAAGGCCGTCTTGGCGTTAACGAGATTGTAAGCTCGGTAGAGTCAAGAGAGAATCGGCTGAGTTTTCTTCTTAAAAACAAAAAAGCGAAGAAAAAGAAAACAAAAAAACAAAAATGAAAAAACAAGAAAAAAAGTTCGAGTGAAAGAAGAAAAGGGAAAGAGAGGCAAACAGAAATAGAAGAAGTAGAAGAAGAAAGTTCTTTCGAAGCGAATAACTCTTTTCTGGAGAACGTATACGCAAGAAACTCTTGAAAAGTAAGAGAAAAAACGAGAGAGAGAGAGAGAGAGAGAGAGGGAAAGAGAGTTGAATTCAAAAGTTTCCTGGAGAATAACTCATTAATGATAGAAACTTTGGAGAGTCCTTTGGAAGATGAAGGATATCCCTTGAAAATTTCTAACCTTTTCGCTTTGGGCAGCAACTTTTTAAAGTTCCCGCCCGAACGGTCATCATCAGAGGACACACGGAATTTCATTTTCCCTTTGGCTTATCCCGGAACAAATCCCATCTCTTTCTATCTCTTTTTTATCATTTCTCTTCTTTCTTCTGCTTTTTTCTTTATTTGATTCTTTTTCCTTGTTTTTTTTTTCTTTTTTTTTCTGCGCCTTTTCTTTTCTCCTTTCTGTTCGATTTGAAAATTCGCGAATAAATATAAAAATGTTTATATATAATATATATATATATGTGTGTGTGTGTGTGTGTGTGTGTGTGTGTGTGTATGTGCATATACGTCTATTATTTTATTTGGAATTAGTAAAATTTTTTAACTAGAATATATTACTAAAAATTTTTTAACTAGAATACAGAAAAGAGAAGATACTTTTTACATATCAATTGTTAATTGATTAATTTATCTTTAGGAGATATTATTTCGAATGTTGTACGATCGAAATCAATTTTATTTTATTTTATTTTATCGTTATTTTTATTAATTAACGACATTTTGTTAAATAAGCGGGATCAGTATATATATATATATATATATATATATATGTATAATAATTATTATGATTAATATTTATTAATAAAATATCATAATGTACGTAATATAAGCGATCGATATAACATCTGGATTTGTCTATGGCTTTATTGTAAATACTGATCATTTATTTATGTAAAATATTAATGATTCATTATATCGATGTAAATATTTTAATTAAAATACTCATAATTTTTTTTATATCAGTCGGATAGCTTATATCTAAGTACTTATGTTTTATTATAAATATTAAATATCAATCGTATATTTAAAATATAAATTAAAAATAATTAATGAATAAATATCAGTCAATTTAATGAAATATTCTTGGCAAACGATATTTTACGTCAGTTATAAATAAATAATTGATACATAAAAAGTATCTTCCTTCGTATTACCTCTCGTTTATAACGTTATATTCTATTCGTATCTTCGCAAGTCGTTCTAATTAAAATTTTATTTAAATTGCAAATAAAATAATAAACAGGTATAAAAATATTTTTATATTTATTCGCAATTAATTAGTCGAACGTGATCGATATTAATTTAAAAATTTCAACCATTCGTACTCATTTTTATCATTATCATTCTAATCATCTTGTCATCTTATTATGCATGCTTCCGAGTTTACAATTAAGAAGAATAAGAAAAAAAAAAACGAAAAAAAAACTGTTGAAAAAATTTTATAACAATCATTAAGCATTAATTATCTATCGATAATTACACGTTGATATAATAATAATAAACGCAGTTATTACGAAGATACAGATAAATAGATGAATTCAGATCGGTCGGAATCTCACATAGCGGCACTTTGGTAGACGGCCAGAGTGAACCGAAGAACTTCTCCCGGAAGCTGGCTTATACGAGTTTCGAAAACTTGCCAAAAGGGATTAAAGCCACGACTACTCGCCCGTAACCGAACTTACCGCAGAGTTTCGAGACGATCCGCGGAAGCGACCATTAAGGGATAGTTTCGAAAGTAGACAGAGTTGCTGGATGAGCTTTCATAGCTA